TTCAAATTCGATGATGAGGAACCCACTTTGAGACTAATAATGGCTGGAGACGGCTTGAAAGGGGAATGAAGAAAAACTTTAATATAAGTTTAACATAACAGCAAATGTACAACGTTTCAAAAAGGTTTTGTCACCTACCTGATGATGACAAAACCTTGTTGAAACGTTGTACATTTGCTGTTATGTTAAACTTATATTAAAGTTTTTCTTCATTACCCATTCAAGCCGTCTCCAACCATTATAACTATCAAGTCAGATAGAATGGGAAGAAAGTATGAATAAATTCTTTGTAAATTTATCAAAATTGAAATATTAAAATAATCTATAAAGCAAAACTCGCCAGACAACATTAAGGAGAAATTGGTTGTATAACCTTTTTTTTTCAAGTTGAACATTTTGGAAGTGTAGCTAAAAAACTCAAAAATATCATTATAATCAAATTTGGAGGCTTTAACAAAAAAATAGTAATGAGAAATTAGACTTGACTTGTGCAAGTTTAGAAATTCCAGGGATTATTAATTTGTAGTTCTAATGATTATCAGTATGTCCATGTTTGTTTGAAGAACCCTCTAGAAAAAACTCTGGGAAAGTTCCACCAGTTTGAAGCTTGTTTTATAAGTTTAAAAGTGGAGTACTACTACTCAGCTTAGGTAATGTTTGATTGGAGTTTTGAAATTTCATGTTGTTTTTATCATTCTTGAATAATAATTGTATTTTTACCGAGTTAAGCAGAAAAGTCCAAACCAGAAGGTTTATTGCAAAATTTCCTTAGCTCCTCATTTCAGCATGTGCATCTTAAACCTCATTCTGAGGGTAGTGTCAATTTTTGTTCTGCTGAAAATCTTTCATGAAAGAGGCGGTCGCTATGATGACCTTGGTATTCCAGGAATACCTTCAGGTTAGTGATTTATCTTTAATATTTGTTAATTTCTTGTGTGTTATAAATACAAAATAAACCCAGTCTGAAAGAAAAAACGTAGAATTATTACATTTTTCTGATTTAACTTTGATTGAATCATGAAACAACTTGTGCAACATTTTTGTGGCCTGGCATGGCCAGGTGGTTAGGGCGTTTGACTCGCAATCTGACGGTCGCGGGTTCGAATCCCCGTCCCACGAAACATGCTCGCCCATTCAGCCATGGGGGCATTATAATGTGACGGTCAATTCCACTATTCATTGGTAAAAGAGTAGCCTAAGAGTTGGTGGTGGGTGGTGATGACTAGCTGTCTTCCCTCTAGTCCTACACTGCTAAATTAGGGACGGCTAGTGCAGATAGCCCTCGTGTAGCTTTGCACGAAATTCAAAACAAACAAACAAATACACAACATTTTTAGTATGATAGCAATCTTTATAAGTTTTCTTTATTCGTGGTTGTTTAACTCTATTTGTCTTATCTATGAACCACTTTACTAAACCAACTGCTAAATAATTAAAAAAAACTATTAGTGTATAAAGAACATAACTAATACTAAATAGAAATTCTCTCCAGATCAACCAGAGGTAAGCCTATGTCTTCTTGGTATAAAACAAAAAGCTTATTTCCCAGCATTTCAACTCTAAAAACAACCTTTAAGAGTAAATCTGAAGGCTTATAATGCTAAAAACCAGGTTTCAATACCTGGGGTGGACTTAATACAGATAGCCTATTGTGTTGTTTTTCATATAACTACAAACAAACAAGAGTTATAGCTGCTGCTTATGAATGCCCAAAGATACGATGACTCATTGGTCTATTCTCCCTTAGAGATTTGCATGCCTTGTGAAACTTGCACCTAACATTCACATGAAAAAACGTGAATTTGCTCTATTGCATGATGATGTATCATGCAGGAAAGCCCTTCACCAGTAGGAGTGTGACATACTTCTCTGTGAAAATGCTCTCTTTACATTCATGTGCAAAAATCCTCATTCTTTTCTTTTTCACTGAGACTTTTTGAAGTACATACTTCAACAACTTTACATAGTATTTCCAACCTTTCTCTATGAATTCTCAGATTAACTTGAATGTGAGTACAAATATTATTCACAGTTACCAACAACTTAGGAAGTTTTTGCTGTCAACACATCATGACAGCCATCACGTATTTCGAAAAGTGTTGCAGTAAGAAGAAGAGTAACGTAACATTGTCCAGTGTGTGTGTGTGGGGGTCATTGTTGCTGCCTGGGCCCTCATCTTCTATCCCTGCCACGCATTTCCCTTCACAGATTTTGAAGCCGAAGAGGATGAAATGAAGTAACTTTTCCACCCAATAATTCTCTACCTCTTAAATATCTTTCAATGTTTCTGCTTTACAGATGCCTTCTACCTATTGTTTCCTTTCTTCTCCCTTTTTAGTGCTGCACTTGGCATTTACTTCAGGTTTCAATTTGTTCCCACTGATTAATGCCTTGTCCTTTCTACCTTACCAATTAACATGTATAAGTTATTTTTTGGTCTGTCCCATCTTTTTTACTTATGCATGTCCTCTTCTCCATCTCCTCCCACAGGTCAATTTCAAGACACTCCTTAAGGGGTGGGGTCCCTTTGGTGGCCCCTCACCATCTATCACAACCTTATTTCTGTTACTTTACCTCCTTGAGTTTCAGCCCAGTCTTCCCCTTCACAACTTTCCATCCCTTGTGATCCACCCTCACATATTGCTCTTTCCTCGGTATATGACATCCTTTTATCATTATGTGTGGGATTGTCCAGTCTACCTCCATGATCATGTAGCCATCCCTTTGTCACCCTTCTGTCTCTTCCTTGTGCTGACATACAGGATGTATTTCTTGTCTTGGTCTTGTCACTACTCCCTTTGACTTCATTACAGATTCTCCTATTTCTCTGCAATTGTCCACTCATTGTCTATAAGTATAGGATTGTTGGGCAGCAATTACTCCACCTTCTGCCTTTCCAATGTCATGGTTTCTCTTCTTATCTGCCTCTTTTCTACCTTCTTTCATTCCTTCCTTATCAGTGCCCCTATCCTACTTCTTGCCTGATTGGATTATCATTGTGGTTCTTCGTGCTCTTACCTGAATCCCTATCAAACCTCTAACAGATGTTTCTGCTCTCCCTGGACTCATGAGTCCTATTTCTACTTACTGTTGATAGCTGTTATACACACATCTATGCCCTTGTTTCCTCCTGCTTTCTCATTATTGCTCTTACCTTTTCTTTTATCGTGGTCAGTCTTTCCTTCATATTCCATGTTAGGGAAAAGTGGTCACTTCTTTTCTCCCTTATCCCCTCCTTCAGTTTTTCTTTTTGGTGTTATTTCTGTTCCAGACAGATGCTCTGGTCCTGTCCCAGCTGTTCAATGTTTTGTTACACTCTTCCTCATACTGTCCTTTTGTAACTGGGACATCTTCTCTACCCAGGCCATCTCTCCTTACCTCATTATGGATTGAATCCGCCAGCTCATACATCTTGTATAAACTCCTCTGATGGCAGATGTTTGTATGCTCTTTCGAGTCTCCTCTCTTCAGCTTCCTTCTCCCTGTCTTTTATCTAGGCTGGCATGTGGACTACCCCACACTCATTCATCTCACATTTAACTATCTCTACTATCTGGCTGTATCCTCTCCAGTAGCATACAGACTTCCACAAATGGCCATTCTTCAATTAACCTTGTACCTGCAAGAATTGTGAGTATTCATTTCATATTCCTTCCTCACCATTCTTCTGCCCTTGGATCCCACGAGGTGACTAGTGTTGCCTCACAGGGGATACTTACCGAAAGTTCTGCATCAGGCCAGGATAACAGAAGACACTCAGACCACCCACCCTGGCCCAATCAGTGCCCACTGCTAGTTGGGGTGTTCCACAACATCACTGGAATTCTACTCATGGTATTTATATATAATCTTTTCCATTCCGATCTAGACTATATACATTCCATGGACTATCATGGAAAAATCCAGCACCAGAGTTGTGCTTCTGCCCACTTCTCTGGCTAGTACTTGCTGGCTTTCAAAAATTTGATTGCATGGTTACCCACTGCACTCTCTCCAGTATAAGACCTTTCCAGACTGAAGAACTGGTGGGGATCTGGGCACATTCTCTGGGTCTCCCCTATGGGAAACCTCCCCCCTCCCTCAATTGGAGCATTGTAGACCCTTGCCACTTACCAGTTCCCAGCTTCTAGGGTGGTGGACCATGGAAAATCTTCAGCAATTGGGACCTGGAAGGTGCTAAAACACAAAGTCCTTCGACACTGAGAAGGTAGCCAGAGGTGTTTCCGAGGCATAGTATGGACCACCCCAACTTGTCTAGATACATCACAATGTCCAAGTGGATTTCAGACACGTATCTCACATAACCTATTCTCCTTTACCTACTCCTGCAAGGACATGACTCCACCAATTATGCTTGCAGAGTTATTGATATTTTGTAATATTCAGCTACGATGTATTGCTCATTAATCCTACTCCCACAGCTGGAAATGAGCCCTTAAGAGTCTGATGGTTGAGTGGTGGTGTCATAAGTATCCTTATATTGTGTTCACTGCAGTGCCCCCTCCCCTCGAGACTTGCATGGACCCTTAGTGTATGACAGATGAGGAGCTTTGCATGGATACTTTACACATGTGCCCTTCTTTCAGAGCTGGTATTCACCCATAGTTTTATGGAGGTAAGTACATTTGTTACAGGCTAAACTATATATATTTATCTTCCAATGGCTTGATGGTCAAGTATGTATTCCACACATCCTTGTGACACCTTTCAGGCTTCCCCGCCTCTCCCTATCCTTCACTCGGGCAAAGAGTATACCCTGATTGAGATAAGATGTGGTCTCCCAGGAGTGTGTCCATATGGAAATCCTGTCATAGGCTGTTGCACCCCATGGGCTTCCTTTTAGTGCTCTTGAAAGGAGGTTCATCTTGGTACTTTCAGCACTGATCCCTCCACCATCTTAACATGAGATCCTACCTAATCTGTGCACAGAGGTGAGTCGTCGTGCCAGAAGTTAATATTTTCTTTACCTGAAAATCTATTTCCGATAGATACTCACCTCTGTGCACTTTCACACCCTTCCTCCTCACTTTCCCGGTACATTTTTATTGATTGCTTTTTCAAAGAATGAGGATTTTCACTCATTATTGTAGAGGGAGCATTGGTAAAGGGAGGTATGTTACACTCCTATTAATGGAGGGTTTTACTGCACGATTATATGTCATCATGCAGTAGTGCAAATTCACGTGTATTCACTTAAAGAGTTTCGCAAGGCTGGTCGCATGCACATCTTTAAGGTAGAATAGCACAACTTCAAACAGAAAATAGCTAATCTGTGCATAGAGGTGAGTATCTATTGAAAATACATCTTCAGCTAAGGAAAATGTCAACTTACAATAGTACTGTGATATTTAGCTTTCAAAATAAAAGTTGTAAAAGAACATTAACAGCAGTATTACACTAAGATGGTAACGAATTTCTGCTCAAATATAGTAGCTATGTACTTTGAAAGAATGTGAATTGTTTTGTATCACAGGTTTAATTTGTTAGTGTTATTTCTTTGTGTTCAAAGTGACGACCGGAGAACAGCAGAGAAAAGCACAGTAAAATAAATAACTTGTTGACTCTTGAACTCGCACATCATTGTTACGTTTTGGCCTTAGGTCTATATCAGGTGGACACATCTAGGTCAGTTGTTAATGTGAATTAAACATAGTTGTGTTTTATTGATGTAGGCTTAAAGCTGAAATTACTGTGATTTATGTATATATATATATATAAAGTAGAAAAGTGCGAAGGTGATAAAAAAAAAGAAAAGATATTAGACTTTTAGAGAAAAGTGACTTTTAAAAACTATGGTAGTAATTTATTTACTTGGCAACGTTTCGAGCAAACGCTCTTTTTCAAACCAGAAAGAAGCCTATCAGTTAATGATAATTACAGGAAACGTTTTGATGTATATACATAAAAATAGATAGATAATTATTTGTTGAACAGGATCAATACACTTTTTCAAAATGTTTGTCAGAACCCCCTGAAATGGTTTGTACAGTATTGACAAATACATGTATTTATAGACATGATTTAAATAAAAGTCTAGAAAAATGTTTTTATTTTTACTCTATAAAGATATAGAGTAACCTTTGTCTGGTATGTAACCTAGATATCTGTAATATAAAAAAACCAATAAGAAAATAATTTTCTGGGTGTAACTTTTTTTTTTAAGAGATATTTCTTTTAAAAGTGACATCACGAACTTCAAGAATTTTATTTAAAATAAAGATTTTTTCCTTATCAGGAAATTACAACGATATTGATCAACACAACCAGCAGAGTGTACCCAAGACAGCAGTCGACACCGGAAGTCCAACACATGATTACATACCAGCCAATGCTCCACCTCCTTACCAAGGTCCTTAACTTGTGAATCTTAATGAACCTTGCCTTGGATTTCTTATTTGCATACATGTAAATTTTAAATACATAAAAGCTATTTAACTCAAACTTATTTCAAGAACATTATGCCCAAAAAAATTTTAACCACAGACCTATACAAGATTATTTTGTTTCATATTAGGCTTATCTCCACTATAAACAGTGATTATTTTTTTATTATTAATGTTTACGATCAAAACTGATTTGATATTAAGTTATGGTAAACTGAAACTTGGTATAACGTTACTGTTAAGACTGCAGTAGTGAGTATTTAATATTCCATTTCTTAAGTGAACAGAACTTCTTAAGTTCTAATAGTGGATCTTCGCAGTAAGCTGACGATCTCACAAACTTTCTTCTCCAAGCGAGTTATATTTTTCAACATGTTTAATATGAAGAATAAACTCTAGGTAATTAAAAAGTTCTCGTAAACAACTCTTTATTAGTTGGTAGCTTGGTCATAGAAATGTATGGGATATTGTAGGTGTTAATTACTGTTGTTTTATAACAAACATTGTCACTTTGTAAGCACCTAGTCTTGTATCTGTGTGCCAGTATAATGATTTTATGATATCTATATATATATATATATATATTATGTCTGGAAACTACTTTTGAATTAATATCTCATAACTATTAGTTTCAGTCGAAGTAAAGTTGTAACTACCGTATATGGGAGTGAAAAGGAAATTTTAAAGAATGAGCTTGTGTAAGAGAATTAATGTAATTTGTGTAGCTTATGTGTGTGTCCTGCGTTGATGTAGTTTTTGCATGTTCTAAGTTGTTGTAGTAGTTTGTGTCCTAAGTTTTCAAAAAAAAAACTAAGAAAGAGTATCAGGTACTTATAACTAAAATTATAAAATAATGTGAAAACAAAAGTTGAGAAAGTATTTTAGCTAACATCAAAAGGACTTGTTTCTAGTGAAGTGACATGAAAAATGAACTTGGAGAGGATGTCGGGTGTAGGTAATCAGTATAAAAGGAAAAAGACCCGAGAAGGTGTGACTGCGTAAACAACCAGAAAATGATGAAAAATTATCGAGAAAGAGTACATAAGTAAAAAGAAATTATATATTTTTCTTTTTGTGTGTTAATATTTTCTTCAAATTGCAGTAAAATCTCGTACATTTACTTCTAGAAAACTAATATTAAGTCAAAAACATTACTTAACTTTAGTTCTTAGAACAAGGTAAGGCAAGATTTCTTTGTGTGAGTTGGAAACATTTGAATTTGATGTTTCAAAACAACAAAATAGTGTAATAAAATTAATTTTCATTCTTGTTTAATGTAATTGAACATGAAAAAGATGTGGATTAACAACTTAGATGTTTGTTTACCTCCATTCTATTTGTAAGTGGAATTTATATATCAGTAAAGTTTTCTTACCATAGAGAGCTACAGTGACTGATTGAATAGGTTCTTTTGCGAGCTTAAAAGTAATTTAAATATGATCTATTTTCACAGTTATGATGCGATACATTTCCAAGTATTAAAAAATTTAAAAAGGTTCCACTAAAAAGCACTCAAGAAAAAAATATGTCCATTAAAACTGGACATGACAGAATAATTTCACCAACACTCAAAATACAGATGTCGGCAGATTGCCCCCCCATCAAATATGTAGACATTGGCATGACTCAATGCATTCATCATGGAATACAAGTGAAATTGCATGATTTTTGTGTATCATACCTTTTGTCAGATACACAAAAGTTTGTATATATCGGATAAAATGTAAAAGCAGAAGTATATGTGCAAGAAATAATGAAAATATTCTATTTTGTTGTTTGTTTTATTCTCTTTTCTGTCTTAATACGTTTTTCTTTTGGATGTCTTTAAATTTCATACTTGGTTATTTTCCTAAGATTTTTCCACTCTAAAGTACCACTTTATTAAAGATTTGGACCAAAAATTTAATAAAATGAGTTGTTTTGTATACTAAAATGAAAAACTACTTCAAACTGTTTGTCATTTCAAAAATACAGAATAGTTGTTCGATGTTAGTATATGGGACATTGCTGTTTGTAGCCGACTGCTTTATTTGTTAAAAAAAACCTTTGTATATCATTTGTAAGGTATGCAAGATATAAAAGCTGATTATATAAAGTTTGTAAATAATAATAATGAATTCAACAGCCTTCATGTGTGCAAAACATGTTGGTTGTAGGTCCACCTCAGACACAAGATATTAACTTCACTCTTATTTCAGGGAATGTTAGTTTTTAGCTTTTGGTAAATAAAAAGTTTTGAACAGTTAGAATTAACAAATTTTCTTGTAATATTTACAGGTTGTTATAAAATGTGTGTGTATGTGTTTGTTGTGTAGAAATTGTTTGTAAACATATAGCTAGTATGAGTAAACCTAAAGTTTTCTCTTGTTCTGTGATACATGTAAGTGCATACATTAATGAGGGCAGTTAGATTTTACGATTGTTGAACACCTTTTAGCAAATAAATGGACCTTCTCTCACTTGATTTTACTTAGTAAATTGTGTAAAAGGTTTATTAAAAAAAAATATTGCAAATGTTTTCTACTTAGTGTGTTAAAGAAACAAGAATAGTTTCTCGGTATCCATGGAACATCTCTAGCGTAAATTTATCTTTTCTTTTGACGCACGTAGCTTAAGAGAAATTATTATGAATTGTAACATATTTACAGCACACAGAAGAAGAAAAATCATACTAACGTTGCAAAAACTGATGATTCATTCCTTACAGGAAAGAAAATTGCCAAATTATTTTTGTCGAAGTTTAAACTTTTAATTTTCAATCATAGCTAAATTTATAACATATCGAACCGGTGACGGTATTTTTCTTAGTTTTAAGAAGTATCCATGTATACATAGTTGTTTTTCTTTATGAATAACAAAACTTAGTGTCTTTTGTCTAAAACATACCCGGGCAAGTTACCTGATGGGGAGTTTGATTCCGAGACATATTGTAAAACATTTTTTAAATGCTGGAATTCAAATACAAATTTAATGTAAGCCAAAATTCATAGAACAACAAATAGAAAACTATTAATAAAATAGAAAAATGCCCATTCCTAATTTCTTTTTGTAGTATTTCTTGGAACTCTGTAACCAAATATATCTTCCTATACAAATCACTCCAAGAGTTTACTTGTAAAAGTTAACTGAGAAAGATCAACATTATAATGACAAAAAATATAAGCACAACATTTTTATTTAGAGAAAAGGAGGCATGGTTTTTATTTTACAGACAAAAATCAGCACAGCGTGTGATATGGTCACTGTTGACCAATAATATTTAAGATATTACAATGTTTAATACTGATAAAAAGTAGAAAAACCTATACAACACAAAAAAAAGGGGAAACTGAAATAAATTTCAAAGTCTACAAGACATCAGTGTATTCATTCTTTGATCAAACAAACTATTTATAACGTTGGAATAAAATACAGAAAAAACAATTATCCTAAGGAAGGATACAATGATTACTTGATTCACTTTGAATATCATGAAGCTTGGAATGTTAAAAAAATACAGTCAAACATGTCACTATTATGAATATATTTGGAGGACAAATACAATTTTAGACTACAGATGCTGGAATATAAGCCTTTAAATGAACACCAATGTTGTATCCTGAACCACTTCTCAGAATGAGCCATTTCCAAAACATATCTAGTGGTTAGTGACACTTGATGGAATGTTATGTGGAGCACCCCATACACGCTCAAAGGGAGCATGTAGACCATCCCTTTTTTCATCAAGAATGTGTTGACAAGTTTAAAAAGATTGGGTGGACATAATCATACATTAGACTGAAGTTGTACCTAATTGCTTAAGGACACAGCAATGGTACAATATCTTAGTATATAGCGTTTATATTTTCTGATATTATTGACACCATTTCATCTGATGTAGAAGTCTCCCCACTGCCATTGTGTCATATTACTGTATTTGAATGTATATCAATTGCTTGGTACCCCCCACCCCCTCAATTGCTCAGAAGGCTAATGACACTAACAATCTGATCTCGATACCTGTGATGGGCAGTGCATTGATAAAACATCATGTAGCTTTGTGTTTAAAATCACCAACAATTGCTTGGCCTGCAAGGTGAAAGAGACTCTCAGGTAAACAGATCATTGTTCGATACATCTTTGGTTCACTGGACTGTTCATGGCATCATTTGCAGGTGAGCTGTTTTGTGCTTTGTTGTAAGCAAGATGCTCCTTATTGGAATATGAGCTGGTCTTGTAACTATCTCACTGACAAGGCATCCAGCTATGGCTGCAAACATCTTGGTTCTAGAGTAGGTAGGTACACAACAATTGTATCAACAGTTGGAACCACTTCTGCATCTCATTAATGACACTTTTAACTAATTTGTATCAGTTTGCTGTAATTCACTGACTCTCTAGAAGAAACTTCAAAATGATTTTCTTAACCCTAGAATGCCAGCAGGGGGATCACTATGAACCCCCCCCTCCCAATAACACCAAGTGTTAATGATTGAAAATTTAATGCTGACATTCTAGGGTTAATTATGGCTTGTAAAGAATTTAAGATATGTTACATTCTTGATTCATTTCCAAGTGACAATAGAGAGGAGACCATTACAAATTACTATCTAGAGCAAAGGATGAATAACCAATAGCTTGCATTTCCGATCATCCGAATGATGACTGAGTAATCTATATTTGATTGCCAAGTTCATTTATAGTTTAACTCCATGTACATAGCTCTGACTGGAAGTTAATACTAATCAAATGTTCTGTTTTATGCAGTGTGTATACATACATTTTAATTTTTTTTAACCCCCAAGATGCGATGTGATGGTACTACACATAAATGCAATTTCACACAGTATTATTAAAAAAAACAACTTATAATGTACTAAAGCCAACTTCCCGAGGACGGGCTGTTAATTTACAAAATCTAGAGTAGAACTTGACTATTCTTAAACTGGGAACTTAAAGAAAAATTAATATATTATAGGAACCAGTGTCGTAAACACTTCAGCCAGTTGAATGTCACACAACTTTTACTTATTACACAAAAAATTGATAGATTTCTTTAATTTTATACATTGCATGATTTTGAAGGTTTCTTTTTTGCTTCATGGTTTTGTTTAAGATAGCTCAATCGAAGAAAGGATAATAATAAATAAACTCAGTATTCCAAAAATTGTTTTATCTCAAAAGTCTAAGTTCAAGGATCATTTAAAAAATGTATGGTTGCAGAGTCTAGTTAGCATTCTTATACTTGAGTACTTTATTGTGTATGCTTTTTCAGTTTATGGTGTTTGGCAAAAATATACTGACTATGGAGAAGTGTATATATATATTTACAGATCTGCAGTTATAAAACAGTTTGTTCTAAATTTTATTTTTGTCTATTTAGACAGGAGTAAAATCAATAGCAATCATTTTCTAGAACTAAGTTATGCATACTTGCATCTCTGCAGGCTTGAGGATCATATTTCCAATTGAGTTGGTAAGTTTCGAAAATTTTCAGAACGGTCTCCTACATTATAATCAGTGATATTGCTTGAGAGAGTTTTTAGGCCGGCATGGCCAGGTGGTTAGGGCACTTGACTCGCAATATGAGGGTCGCAGGTTCAAATCCCCATCCAACCAAACATGCTCACCCTTTCAGCTGTGGGAGCATTATAATGTGAAGGTCAATCCTACTATTTGTTGGTAAAAGAATAAGCCAAGAGTTGGTGGTGGGTGGTAATAACGAGCTGCCTTCCCTCTAGTCTTTCACTGTTAAATTAGGGATGGCTAGTGCAGATAGCCCTCTTGCAGCGGTGCACAAAATTCAAACCAGAGAACTTTAGTTTCTTGTTGAATTTTGAGCAAAGCTACTCTAGGGCTATCTTCACTAGCCGTCCCCAATTTAGAAATGACAGACTAGAGGGAGGGCAGCTAGTTAACACTTCCCACCACCAACTCTTAGTTTACTCTTTCCAAAATGTGGGCTTGACCAGCACATTATAATTTTCCCATGGCTGAAAGGGCAAGCATGTTTGATGGAATGGGGATTTGAACCTGTGACATCAGACTGAAAGTTGAGTGCCTTAATTACAAGGCTGTGCCAAGTTTCATTTTTGAGAAGTTCCACATATTAATGTTATATTTCTCCATGAATACATGGGTTTTTCATTTGCAAACACAGGGTGTTCTCTTAAAAGATATTATTCTGCTAAAACTTTTGATGTCTACAGAACATTAAACTGCAAATTGTGAGGGGTGGTAGGTTTATTCAAGTGAGAGAAAAAAAAATCAAAACTTTTATGAAATCATCAGGCTTTGAGCTCAGTTAATCAGAAATCTGACATATTAATATGACAACTGAACTTAGCTTGCTTGTTTACATCCACATCAAAGTCCATACCTAAACACGGAGAGTGGTGTTCACATAAAGTAAGAAGTTAGTCATATAATCTTTTGACTGAAAAACACCACATATATTATCTACATAACATCTTCAATATTATTGTTTAAATATCAGAACTTTTAGTTACTGTTTAAAAAATTAGTAAAACAAATTACCCATAGCAGGTGCAAGTTTATATGCCACATCAATGCCACGAACATGACTTTTTAATAGCAAGAGATTCCATAATTGATTCTTTAACAACATAAGATTCCATACTAAGACTATGAACATAACAAAAATAAATGTGATTCTTTAAGAGTGTGAGGTTCATTAACCTAAATGGCACATTTTGTTTAGTTTTCAAAACTTCTATCTTGTAGGTTAATATTTTGTTAAATAAAGAATTCTTTATCTATTGCAGTATGTCACTTCTTTCAGACTGTTTAGGCATGTTAATAGCTGTTTCACTGCTGTTATAATCATGTTACTGCACCCAGAGGGTTAAGCCTGACAACTTGTACCTCATGTTTTTAAAAATCCAACTAATGATTAATTACAGTAAGCATAAGATAACTTTTGAGAAATAAATCTGTAACAACACTAGGGTCCTTGGGTAGTTTCATACTCTTGTCACTAGAGTATTTTACTAAAACAAAAGGGAACTGATTACAGTTTAGTTTATAAATCAGCCGGCAGCTGAACATTTCTCCAAATAAGTGACTTTCTCTTCAAAAATAAGGGGGGGGGGGGTAGAATTTCTTCACATAAATAGTCTTAAGCATTTATGAAATTTTTTGGCATAATATTGAAATAATGTTCTAAATATTTGTATTATTGTTTCCAAAAATTTATGATATGGTTAACACGTTTATACAGATTATTTGTTGACTGTCTAAATGCCATTTTTTCGCAATAAATTAAGTACTTTTGTAATGTAAAGTAGTCGTAACATTGTTTTAATGGGATGTCGCAAGTCCAGAATTTGTGACTTTGAACAGGTGTAGCACTTAAAATTCAAAGAAAACAGAATTCTTTACAGTATTCCTTAAACAGTTTTATATATATATAAACCAACAATGACAAGTAAAACAGACAACAACATGTAAAATCTCTGACACATCTAATAATCAAATATAAAAAAACTTAACAGTAAGCGTCTAATTAAGTTTGTTGTTTCCATACGTTGAAGTAACAAAAAATTAACTCCTTTTACTCCACATTATACAAGATTCTGTCTGTTAGAAACATGGTATAATAGTAGCTTAAATGAGCTCTACTCTATTAATCATTTAACCAAATATTTCTAATTAATGTCTGGCAAAAGTATCTTCTCTCCAAAGTATACCTGATACAAAAGAAATTACAAATGACACATTTTTCTCGAAATATTTAGGAAACATAAAAGGGATCTTCTTTAAGTAAAAGTTTAAATGTCTCAATCTGGTTTGGAGGGGAAATGCCAAATCACAGCAAGGAGACTGTCTACACAAACCTGCATTAAACATTAAAGATAATTCATAATCGTCAAGAAACGTAAGGTTCTTGATCACGTTAAAAGAAAAATATCAGGTACATTTTAATAATCATCGTTTTGGTTTTCTTGAGTGCTTAGTGTGTTCTATACAGGTACGTTCTTCCGAAAGTCTCCCCCACATATCAAAAACTTCATTTCTTTAATTAATGTAACAACAAGGATGCAGGTTAATTATACGTGGGATTACAAACATGTATTTTATCATTTATCTCAAGATATTACACATGATTTGTGAAATTCTTTTCGAAATAACTTTATACCTGCCAGCACAAGTCATAGCCTAATAAAGACCCGACATGTGTGCTAGCTGATTAAAAGAATAAAAAGCTAGTATACTTTCAAGTACAACTTCTAAATGATAAAGTCGTAAACCATACGTGTTTTAACAACAATTAAGTAAACAAGCTAAGAAGATGTTCCTTTATAGACAGAGTAATCCTAGCATTTGTCCTACTTCGGTAATCTACAAATAGGGAAGAACCTAGCTGGTAGACGAGAGCTTATATTACTCGAAACTACTTTTTTCAGCAAGTCCCGTAGAGGAGGGGGTTCCAACATGAATGTGTATTTTCATATTCTTTTTTTTTTTAAACAATTTCTAACTTTATTATCGAGTACTTCACGAATACATTGTATCGTATTAATAGCATTTAAAACCTAGCTAACATGTTTATTCACAATAAATCCTCCTAGTACAGAAGAAACCTTGTGGCTTTTTACTTTTAACATGGAAAGTTTAGGAGTTAATTTGATACAAAAACTTCAGTTTTGCTTTAATTAATCTCAACAAATGAGTTAAGGTTGTGTTTTTATTCAATGCTTTTATTTATATTGATCTAAGTTTCTCACAGACAACAAAGATACTACTACACACTCCAAGGCCTAGCTTATAGAAGAAATCAGTAATACGGTGTAATATCCAATTTTTATTGATAATATACTAGATCGAAATACTGTCTACAGGTGATATATTTAGTTGGTTATGATGGTAAGTGAACTGATTTTAAAGGTATTGGACAAAGCTAACATTAACTTTTGAAAAAATACATCAAAAATCTTACAAAATTATTGAGTAAAGAGCAGCTGAGCTATTTCATTTGACAACTACCACATGAGGCAACTGTTGGACACAAGCTTTATAAAAAATCTTGGAGATTTGTATCTGATTGATATCGATAAAACACAAGCGTCCGAGATAGTTAAAAAATTTAAACTCTGAGTATTGATTATAACCCATGCACGTACTAAAAAAATGTACTGCTTAAAATTAATATACTGAATGGTGGATAACTATGGTTATACTGCAAGTATAAATATCACTCGGTCAAAGCAATTCCTGCAATCAAGTATGGCACAATTCAAACCCTACCTTTATTACAGAAGGTTGAATGTGTTATAATGATTTGAAAGATGCAAGCCATGTGATAACTACAAGTGATATAGTCATGGTGAAATGGCATGTGTCAGAACTACATTTTGGCATTTCGTGGGTGGTGTGATGCCACCAAACTTGATCGCTTTTGGGATGGGAATATAACAGCCCTTTCCAACACAAAATGTTCATACACTCAGATCATGTATTTAGGATTTCCAGGATGGGGGATGTCCTTTGTACTTAATGGCAGTAGAAAACAATGGAATATGGATCAATCTGGGGTAACTAGGACTATCCACAAAGAGAACTCCAAAAAGTCTTACACCAGATGTGGTAAGCAAAGTGTAGCATTTTGTAACAAGAATCCACAAGTCACAAAAACAGTCCATGTGTTTCAAATAAAAGTATGCAACATAACTACAAATGACTCATCTAGAAAAAACCACACAAATTGCTTCCACAACATGTCAGTTCAACCATCACATATGTCAAGCAGTGGGAGAATAAAGCAGGTATTCATACTATTTCATACAAATATATACCAGCCAAATTACTGGACACAGCACCTATGGATTTCTATTCAATTGGACTGTAGAAATGGGTGTGCTATGAACATGATAACTTTACTACAGCTTTTTTTTTTTTAACATTTGGTGAGGTTCCTAAATCAATTTAATGTATGTATTTGATTAGCAGTCTAAGCTTTCCCATAGTAAGTACAATATCCAGGGTGACCCCCCAAAAATTGTAATAAAATATAATTGTGTATTATAATTATATACTTATATAAAAGTCAGAGAAGCGTTAATTAAATGTGAATGCACAAAAGCATAGTGACAAGCATACTTTTATTTTGACAATCTTACTGTCAAAACCTTAAAATTTTGCACCTATTTATACAGTGTTCTTAAATTCAGTTGTACTGCAAACCTATAAGAACAGATTTTTTTACTATAAATTTCTGCTCGAACACCTGTAAACAACCACTTTCCAAAGTTATGTAATGGTAATTGAATATTTTGGTTGTTCTTAAAACATCTGCTAGTGCTAAGTTAAGCTGCCGAACACAAGAAATGTAAAGTTCTTTCTTCATAACGTAATAACTTAAGAAGCAATGGATTTTATACATAGATAGTTCATATAGTATATTTAGATACTTGGATATCAATAAACTACTACAAAATGAAATGAAATAAACAAAAATTATTTATAATCCAGAATGAACATTTGTTAAACAACACAAACGTTATAATTTCAAAAATCATGAATTTGGTGAAATATCAGGGCAAATTTCATAATTTTTTCTGATTTGGAAATGTGAAAAAAACAACAACTACAATTAACTGAACAATTTGTCAGCAACAAGTCCAAACTTTCCATATCACCGTAGACAGAGTTAACATTGTTCTCACAGAAAACTAATTTTCCAACGAGGATTAAGATGCCGATATCAAATTCTACAAGCACACTCAAAGTATCGAGTTTAGTGAAACGTATGGTGTGCAGTTCTGATTACCGTGATAGAGAAAACAACCATTACATATCAACTGTTAGAATACGAATCTAAATACAAACATTTTTAATCAGTAACAACTCATGTTTCTCTTAGTCTAACACTACTGTACAGAATGTGTGGTTGTTAAAAGAATGCGTGTTCAAAAAACACTCAAAAATAACACCATCAACTTTTCTATTTATGAAATACTGTTTGATTCAAATTTACTGAATTACCTTTACCAGTAAATTTTTTTTAGTTATATGTACTAAAACGTATTTTTATGGATTCTTGAATTCATAAAAAAAGAACCCAGTTTTGCTTGTATTCTATCTCTTTAACTGTAATAATGATGACATTCATCAATATTGTGTTCTGATATAATTTCACTTTTATGACTTTGTTTCACGACAAGATTCCTTTTAACTTTTGTCTGTGTTAATTGTACAAAACAAACACATACAGAAAAAGACCCATTATTTAATTTTACAACCTAAGACTAAAAAAAGCATGTGTAACTTAAAGATTAATATAGTTTTTAATTTCCTAGACAGAGCAAATGTGTGCATCTAAATTGATAACTAGATATAAGCGTTCACTTAGAACAGTTCTATATTATTTAATCACACTAAAAGCTCTTCAATATACAGCATGTTACATAATTATACATATAATTTTATATTAGTTGGCAGTTGCTTGTCCCCCTTTTAAACTGTATGTAAAAGTACTCCACCAGTTGAGAGTTCTTGAAGAAGTGCAAGTCTGGCAACCCAGCGACTGAGGCTAGAAGCTTTATTTTCAAATCTGCCTAAGTTGACCCTCCACCAACCAACTCTCTGCTATTACGCCAATTGGCGAGACATTCACAGTGAATGTCTGGACGAGATAGTCACCTGGTTTCACCGAATTCCCTGTTTAACGTGACCAGATCTCTCTGATCTACGGCTTCGCAGAGGTCGGGTCTGTTCAGGATATTCATCACCATTCTTAACGTGGACCAAATGTTGTTGGACATGGTGGTCCGTGGCTGCTTACCTTGTGGTCCTCTGCCAGCATCTTGGAGGTTAAGAGATTCAAGGAAATGTCCTGCAGCTTCTCTGTTACAATAATATTGAAAGCCATTAACAAAATGTCTCATAAGTTCAGCATAGCTATTTTAATACAATATATTACTTACAGTTAGTTAGTTAAAATTAATCCCTGCCATGCTTTCGAACTCTGGTTGCAAGTGGCACAAGCAGATGGAGATCATGGACTGTATGCCAATCCATTGCATGTTAACCCTCAGCTAACAGTTAGTACCCATCATACAGCTGGGTAGACTGGAACAAGTAGGGTAAAGCATCTTGCTCAAGGACACAAGAGCATGACGCGGGCCAGCCTCGAACTCGCAACCGTCTGACAACACCACCACTGAGCCCTGCTGCCCCCTACTTACAGTTAACATGCAATAAAAAATGGACATTTCACTTTTACAGTAAATATTTTGAACATACAATTTAACTTTAAAAACTTAATGCACTTCAATGAAATATTACAACTTCTATACTTTCAGGCATTTACAATATTAAAATACCTAAGTTAATAAAACAGTCTTTGCTGTGAAACTGTTACATCAATGAAAATTTGATTCCTCACTTGTAAGTATGCTACTTTCATTAAAAACTACAATAAAAAAGCCTTCTGCGCATCTCATCACCTGATGATAAAAACCACATTTCTCACCAGTAAGCACTGAATGATAAAAACCACATTTCTCACCAGTAAGCACCTGATGATAAAAACCACATTTCTCACCAGTAAGCACCTGATGACAAAAAACACATTTCTCACCTATAACCACCTGATGACAAAAAACACATTTCTCACCTATAACCATGCGGTGATAAAAACCACATTTCTCACCTATAAGTACCTAATGATAGAGACCACACTTCTCACTTATAAGCACCTGATGACAAAAACCACATTTCTCACCTATAAGCACCAAATGATAGAAAAACCACACTTCTCACCTATAAGCACCTGGTGATAAAAACTACATTTCTTACCTATAAGCACCTAGATTAATACAACTGATTCCCAAGTTAAAACGAGATCTAATGAATCCTGGAGATATTTCTAAAGCTCTGCGATACGAGTTTACTGCTTCTTCAGATCGACCTCCATTAGCAAGTGTGGCTCCTAACCTGTTCCAGGTCAAACTGTCCTATATCGAAAAGAAAAAATGGATTCAATGCACAAAGAAACCAGAGTTGAGTAACTGTAAATAAACTATGATGAAACTTTGTAGAATGGACGGCAACTGCCTGTTGTAGAGACTAAAGTTTAGAGGATGACGTATCGAAAGTCTTCCACCTTTAATTTCATCTGAAAACAAAAGGCGGAAGACTCTCAAAAAGGTCGTCCTCTACACTTGTTTCTCTACAACAGGCAGTTGCCGTCCATTCTACAAAGTTTCACCATGAATATTCTGCCTAAACAATCTATTCAAATATCTCAAAGAAGCAGTCTTAAATATTAAGTTAAAATGTAATAATAAACGTATCTCTAATTTTCTTGCTTGCAGGAAAACAAACTAGGTCTCAGTTTCGAATTGTAAAGGATTAAATTTTCATGCTTTTACAGATGGAAAGAAATATTTTTTACTAGCATAGTTTAGGTTCTGTAAGATAGAGGTAGCTGTCAACTACACATCTTGTTCCATGCCATAAGCACGCATAGGTGCCCGGAGGAAAGGGCCCTACATTTCACAAAAAATTGAACATATTATAACGTAAAATTAATATCATACTAAAACTAAATATTTTTATTAATTCCTATTAAAACCATACATTTAGGCACACATAACACATATTCATTTCATCTGTTGACTGTAAAAGCTGATCCTTTACATACACCCCCCCTGGATATACTTCTGTGGGCACCCATGCAAGCACAATTAAACTCAAAACATATTACTGTACCACAATTCAGCTTAAGTATCAATACAGATACAATGTATAGTATAACTATTATTGTCACTACCATATTTTTTGAAATACAGTAGAACCTCGACATTATTGGCGCCCTTCCAACTGCAGCCAAATGACCTCTATAGCAAGGTGCCCTTAACATAAAAAATGAGCCATGCAAAGCTGGAGTCCATATTAAACATACTAAATTTCTGAATTTTAAGCCCCCCCCCCCATTTTGTTTGGTGTATGCAGGACACGGGTGTTACGAGTTACACACTGCCATGGAGCATTTTATACATGGGGGGGTGGATTAGCTGTGCCCTTTTTTTCTTTATTATTGATCACAAAGTTTCAAAGTACTTCTCTTCAGAGTTTGAACTGCTAAGCATTTCACATCTATTTTCTGCATTTATTTCACTGTCAACAACTAAAGTACAAATTCACTGAAAATAAAGCAACAAATCACCACTTGTGTCATTACTGTTTACTCTCGAGACCAATAAAGCACGACTTGACCTCTGCTCCGAAAACATGATGTGCAATTTAACAACTAATGCATCCTATGTGAAAATGTTTATTACAGTATATGGTTCGGAGCCAATCTAATAAACATCACAAGTGTTTGAATATTGGTAATCCTTCTGGGATGATTGGAATTTAGCAGTATACTGTACAAGCATACAAAGATAACAGCCTGCTTTATTGAGTGTTGTACAGAGAACGAGAGTAAAGACAATGCCCTTAATCTGGAATATCAAGATGCCCGTTATTACAAGATTTATTTTGGTTACAGAGAGTAGAAAAAGAGAGAGACTGAAAAGGTCTGTCCTTAATAGAATGGTGCCCGTTGTTTCGAGGTTTTAATGTAACAAAAAGAAAGGAACACTACAGTTTAAATTAACACAAAATAAGAAGAAGAAAAAAAAAACTTTCATTTGTATGTTGTTAGCATAATATATCGAAACAGAATAATAAAACAGTTACTTACATCCGGTCTGACTAGCATAATATATTGAAACAGAACAATAAAACAACTACTTACATCCGGTCTGACCAGCATAATATATCGAAACAGAACAATAAAACAACTACTTACATCCGGTCTGACCTGAAGTGCAGCCTGAAAACAATCCGCAGCTTTGTCATATTCACCCGAAAGGTTGAACAGAACACCAAGTCCACACTGCACATCAGGGTCATGATCAGTGGGAGAAATCCTTGCTGCTGCGATGTAAAGGTCTCTTACTTCATCAAACTGTTCTCTGTTCATTAAAAAAATCCATCAAAACATCAAACTTTTTAACATAACACGAGTGGTTGGCCGCACAAACTTCTTGTTTTATATACAGCTCATTGTGATTCAAATATCTCATTATAACTGATACAGAGGGTCTTGCAGCCCTTCAGGATGTGCAAACGTGACCCACAGATTAGTTTAAGAGTAACAAAATTGAATGAGATGAGTTATAATCAAATCACACCCACATTTCTTATTGAGCAATCATAACTTAATGCTGCTAACAGTTAACAGAACACACACACACACACATTTCCTTTCACGTTGCTTACATCTCTACTGTGACTACTGGCTAGTACCTTATTAGCTATACAAAAATTAACATATCAATAATACTCAAAACTATTTGGAGTCCATTTATTATTTTGATGTTTTTAAATTATAATCACACATTTATTTTCAAAATATTTATACGAAGCTTAAAAAAAATGTACGAGTGTTGTGTCTATAATTAGATATTTTTTGTTCAGCATCAAACCTACCTTTAACATTAAATTTAAATTAGCTCCTTTGAATTTAATTTTATCTGAACAAAAAGAGAAAACCCTTTGAGATTACTAAAGACCAATGTTCATAAATCTCAAGTCTCACCTTGTCCTGACTGAAGATCATAAATCTAATGTCTCAACTTGTTCTGACTGAAGATCATAAACCTGAAGTGTCACCTTGTTCTGACTGAAGATCATAAACCTGAAGTCTCGCCTTGTCCTGACTGAAGATCATAAATCTAATGTCTCAAATGGTTCTGATTGTAGATCATAAATCTAATGTCTTAACTTGTTCTGACTGAAGATCATAAATCTAATGTCTTAACTTGTTCTGACTGAAGATCATAAACCTGAAGTGTCACCTTGTTCTGACTGAAGATCATAAACCTGAAGTCTCACCTTGTCATGACTGAAGATCATAAACCTGAAGTCTCACCTTGTCATGACTGAAGATCATAAATCAGAAGGCCAATAATTTCCTTAAGAAATGGCTGCCAGCCTAAATAACTTCTTGAACTATGAATTGAGCTGGTTCAAATTGCTTTTGTAAACCTGAGATTGTGTACTTGTAAGTTTAAGGTTAACTTCTTGAACTACGAATTGAGTTGGTTCATATTGCTTTTGTAAACCTGAGATTGTGTATTTGTAAGTTTAAGGTTAACTTCTTGAACTACGAATTGAGCTGGTTCAAATTTCTTTCGTAAACCCGAGATTGTGTATTTGTAAGTTTAAGGTTAACTTGCTCGAACTACGAATTGAGCTGGTTCAAATTGCTTTTGTAAACCTGAGATTGTGTATTTGTAAGTTTAAGGTTAACTTCTCGAACTACGAATTCAGCTGGTTCAAATTGCTTTTGTAAACCTGAGATTGTGTATTTGTAAGTTTAAGACTAATTGTTTTTTTACAGTTGTTTATTGTGATTTTAAATTTTATACCCCACACCCTTTGTTCTCTTGTTTCTTTCTCTTTTCTTTTAAACCAATAGTTTAGTACTTGTACATAGGAAATTTGCTTTATTTTTTCCCTTAATTATTGTTTATTTTTGACACACATTTTTTCCAATTCTTATGTAAAACACAACAAACTCTCTCTGACACTGTCTAACTCAAAGAACTCTCCCACAGTCTTAATTTGTTTATTTCCCCAAAAGGGGGCCAAAGGCTGTCTGGAGGGGTCACCTATTTTAACTACTCGCACCACTGTACAGTAGTGTATTGTGTCTCAGTTAGACATTAAAATGTGCGCATGCCATGAATCATATTAAGAATTATGCACTCTGTAGGCTACAACACAGAATGACATATGAACGTCAAAAGCAAGAAATAAAAGTATTTGTTACTCATGATTTTGGTTTTATTTTCTCTTGAAAGAGAACGTTTTCAGGGACCCTGCGGAAGTACATCTAGTTTGTATATATACACACACATGCTTGAGATTTTTGAGACTTCACATGCTCGTTGCATCACGTCTCTTCTAGAACTCTGTAGCCAACAATACAAATGTCTACATATTTAAAAGCTTAGCTAACAAAATACATTTTTGTAGAAGTTATGGCTTTTCTGCAGGTGCAACAAAAACCACCTCAAAGATATTTGCCATTCTAGTAATAAGAAGGTAATAAGCAAATGTAAATATTCATTTAACCCTATCATTATTGAGATTACTCTACAGATTTATGGTTTTCAGTTTTCAATCATGTCAAGGTTAGTCTTCACATTTATGGTTTTCAGTTTTCAGTCATGTCGAGATTACTCTACAGATTTTCGATTTTCAGTCAGGTAAGCCTTCAGCAGGGTTCTCCCAAACTTTTCACAAGAGGAACCCAAGTGAAGATAGAGGAAATCTAAACTGTTGGGAGGTTAAAAATTGAGAAATTATTATTTGTGTGAATTTCTATAAAAGCTGCAATGTATAGAAAGTTTTCAACAGATAAGACTGCTGCATTGTCTAACACCCAAAAATTACCAACAGCCTCTCTTAAAATTTTTCCCTTATTTTAATTCTGCTATTTCAAAAAAATTCTAAACATTTATCTGCTTGAGCTTCACATTCAAAAATTTAAAATTCTATATAAAAAAAAAGAATTATGACTTCCACAAATAAGCAAGAGCAGATGGAAAAAGTTTTCAGATATTTCACATGTCTGTTCATTTATTGTCTTTGTTACCCTATTTATATTTGTGAGACAGATTACTGAGAGATTTATTAATGATAATATTGAAAAACGAGTCTCCTGACATTTTTTTCAATGACAAAACATGATGTTTCACATCTAAAATTAGTTGTCTTAATGTCTGTTCCAATTGAATGCTCCCCACATGAAAGTGAAAAAGTGCATCTTATTTATATCATAGGAACCCATTTCCTTTCGGAAATAACTGTCTGTAATAATTTCATTCTCTACAGAATTTCATAAAAATACGACGCCAAGGTCTAAATGGAATTATCAAGAAATAATTGATTTAAATGATTTAGAATTTACCTGGAATGAACTGACATTTATTTATTTTCCTATGTTTTAATGCTTTACATATGTGCATACTTCTGTATTTCTATTACAGTAAAGTTCTCTTTTTTTATTTTAAAATTAGGCTTGGCAATACTTAGGAACAAGCCAAGCAGAAAATGAACAAGATCCAGCTGGAATTTCTGCCTTGAAAAGGTATATGCATACATTTATGTGATTTGTTGTGGTGTTTACCCGGTAATATTCTTAAAAGGTTTGTTTCATGGGGCAGTGAATTGGAAAATGTATTTATATATTTTTCTATATATTGATAAAATAATTATACTCTGAAATAGAGAGAGAGAGACTTTTCTGTGTGTGAATTTGTTTGGTGCTTATGGAATTACTATTTGTTAATTTGTTGTTTTTTCCCCGTTTTCATTCCATCATCTGAGATGGTCCAAAAAAAAAGAAGATTTTTCTTTGTGCGGATTGCTGTGTTGATTATGCCGTTATTATTGATTTTTTCCTACCTGTTTTTTGTTCTGTGCTCTGATATAGTCTGAAAAACCTTCATATGCATGTTTTTGTTCCATACATATGTTATTGAAATTTTATAAGATTAATTAATTAGTATCACTCAACTCATACCCCACACTGCATCTTAACAACTTTTCAACTGGTTCTATATTCTTGGAGAAAATGTGTTATTATTGACATGTAATATGATGTTTAAATTCCACTGTAGGTGTTTAGAGCTTCAGCCAGATAATCTTACAGCACTGATGGCAATGGCTGTAAGTTTAACGAATGAATCCATGCAGAATCAGGCTTGTAGAATTCTACGTGACTGGTTAAAACACAACCCCAAGTACAACCACTTAGTACCTGTAACAGATGAAAGTGCTTCAGCCAATACAAACATCCATGTAACAGCTTCAGTCATGTCAAGGTTAGTCTTCACATTTATGGTTTTCAGTTTTCAATCGTGGGAGTCAGCTCAAATTATCTAAAATCAGTAAGATTCTTCTTAACTGTAGTGCATATTTCTTCCAAGTTTTTTTTTTTCCCTAGAAACTTTAATTCCCACCTCATTTGAAGAAATAAAAACACTGGAAATAATATTAATAAAACATTTGTGCTGAAGTCAAATATATATATAGCACAATGAAGGGCCTAAATCCTTCTTCAGCTGTGAAGAAGGGCTCAAACTCAAAATGTTATGCAAAATTAAAGTTCTACTAGTATTATTAACATTGCATTTAGGATTTTTATTTCTTCAAACATTGTCTTAATATCTTTAATGTGGTTTATATTTTCCTTTTTGTGTTTTTATTTCACAATTTGTTGCACTTTAGTGTAGATGTATTCATCCAATTCTTTTACTTTTCACTGCAAACTTTATTCCACACAAGCCGAAGCACCCATCCGATGTCCAGGGGCATAAAGATTGAATGTGTGGTTTGAACTAATATTAAATCAAGAATTTGTATGTATATGCACAATCTGGATAAACCACATTAGAAGTTCTTCCTCCCTCCTGGGCCAAAATAAAGAGATTTTCCGACGTAGCTCTGGACATTTTAAGGGTCTGATTTAGTGCTTTTGTTGCAATTTTTCGTGAAAAAACCTCAAACATTTTAGGAAAAAAAATTTGTCCAGATAATAATTTCCCTATGACATACCCCTTGGTCTATTGTATCACCATCCTACCAAATCTGGTTGTGATTGGTCAAATAAAGTTTTTTACTTTTATATCATCCTACCAAATCTGGTTGTGATTGGTCAAATAGTTTTTTACTTTTATACAGATGTATACAAGTTAAAAGTCACTTCAATTTTGAGATGACTGCATTTAGGAAACTGATGGATACACTGTTGTGAAGCTTAGTTTATTAGCTAATTTGACTGTACAAGGACAATACCGAATCATGTACTGTGATACCTAGAGGTATAAAAGCCATCATCCAAAAATGATAGTAAAGAACTTTTGTACAAGTAATTGCACTTTGTATATCGTTTCTTGAACGCAGTAGCCTAAACAGTCGAAGTGACCTTTTAAACACCTTCATGTCTAAAACAGATTTCTGTCCCTTTTGAAAAAAAATTAGTACTTGGTAAAAAAAGAGAGATGTTATTTGTTTATAAATCAAAGAGCAGCTCATGCACGTTCTTGGTGCCAACACTACAGTGATTCCTTGCTTCAGATGGGATGTTACTACTTCTCAATAATGCAAACAGTAGAACGAGAACTTGCTTGGTTTGATTATAAAGAAGTAGTAACACCCCATTATTTTAAACAAGGAATTACTGTATTCTTGGTTATGTGGTACAAACACTTGCTTGACATTGAGAATACAAGAACTCTTTACTTCATGGAATATTAACTTGATTACAAAAATGTGTTAACAAGTCATTTATTCTGTTTGATATTATTTAACGGCCCGAGGTCAGGGTTCTACGATAAAGCTTGCCTTTATAACATTAATAAAAATCTCACCAGTCCATTTTTCGGATCTTTCTGAACAGCTGCTTCAAAAAGCAACACCGCACTTGGTAAGTCTCCTTCCTTCAGTTTTTTTAATCCTTCCTCGAAAGGATCTGGATGTTCTAGCCATTCATTGTCCTCCGCAAACTTGTACGATTGCTGTTAAAAAGAAAAATAGCACCATAGAATTTATAAGACAGCAAAGCATGTGTGAACTTTTGCAATTGACAAATAGGTTTATTACAATCTCTTAATCTTTGTCAATCTAGTCTGTTATTTCCATTATTTCTTAGTATTTTAGTTAGGTATATCATTTCATTGTCTGAAGGTTAGTTGAATTATTCATGGCTACAAAGTATTTTAATCAATCAAATTTAAATTCTAGGTGATATTTTTAAGTTCCAGTGTAATGCTTACAACTATATCACAAATATATATTTTTTGTGAAATAAAGGTTTAACGCACACAACTATGTTTTTACTTATATTTCTACAGTTCTTTCACTTATTACTCTTTTATCTTGTTTGAAAAATAAAGTGGCTGTTTATATAATTTACAGAGTATAAAAATTTCTTGTCCTTCAAACCAAAGATTAATACATTCAGTAAAACCTAGAAACTACAGACCTGTTACATATACCAATAGCATAAGGTATCACAAATTTTCCTTACTTCATATGCACTTTCCACAAATTCTGAAATCCATGGATCCTTGCTTTCTCCCCTGACAAAAATCAAAATCCACCAATAATAAAAAAAAAAAAACAAGCAGCTAAACAAAATATGCACTTATCTGACATGAAAAAAATAAGAATGACAAATTACAACTATCCAATAAATTCATGGAAACCTCTCAAATGTACTTGTTTTTGCAAAAAAACCTTGAATAAAATATTTTAAACTGTTTGTTTTTATTTGTTGTTAACACAAGGCTACACAAAGAGCTATCTGTACTACCATCATCATCATCATAGACAGCAGTACATCGATAATTCTACCGATGCTTAGCTGCCACACAATCATGAATTATTATTACAAGAAAATGGGGACAAAAGTGTCATGCGTAATTTATCTGTATTAATTTTAAACCTAAAAAACATGTGTATATCAACTACATCTTATGGCCAAAAAAGCATTAACAGTGAGGATACCAACTAATGAAGTAATGATTTACTCACTACCAGATTAATTTTTATGTTTGATCTATACACATCACTTGCTCTGATCAGAAGTTAATATCAAATGCACGTACAGTACTTAAGAATATGCAATATATTACAACTAGAATCAACTGGGAATTACAAAGAATATTTTGTAACAAAAATGTACCTACCTCATAGGTGTGAAGCCATTTATGTCTTAGTTCGAAGAAAAGGTCTTGTTTTTCTTCTAAGATGCTCATAACTACCATAAAAATAAGAAACTGAAATTTATTAATTTGCATTCTTTATGAGACAAAAATTTTGAGTTGATAAATTAATTATGTGTAACGTAATTTCAAAGAATTCAAAACAGTATGTTCAGTTATGTTCAGGAATATGTAGGTAAGCATTTGAAATTTCCACCTTGATCATCCAAATACCTGGAGAAAATGCCCATCAAATAGAAGGGTATGTTTCCATGGTAAAGTAAGGAGTGAGAACATACTGATTGAGATGGGATAAATCAATGACAGGATGACAGACCTTGGTTTTCATGGGAACCAGAAACAGGTGTGAGTAAAAACTCCCATGAACCTGGTGAATTAGTTCGATAGTTTGTTGTGTGATGAGGCCCTGAACCATTTCTGACAGATGCTAGTGTGTCAAAGGATCCCCAAGTAAAACGAAGGTAACTGAACACTGAATAATGGAGGAAAGGAGAGAAAGGGGATAACAAATCCCTCTGAGAGCACCTTGCAAACCCAGACATCGGTGAGAAAAGGTCCCCACAGATGAACAAATTCAAGAGACAAGTCCCCACTGGGCCTGAACGGACCACATGGTCTCTGGTACTGCTGTTGGTGGATCGTGCATCATTGAGTAAATCGTCGAACTGTGGCAACGTGGGAGGGTAGGACAAGAAAAGGAAGGTCGAGGGACAGGAATCAGTGCTACGCTCGGCCCTGACTGCGACAAATGACTTACCAAGTTAGTATTGGTAGAATGTTGATGGGTCAAGGCCACCCATGACTCCAAAGACTCAGGAACTGAGTCAAACACATAATGCCGCAAAAACGGCATCATGCATAAATCCCTCAGATTTTATTAAATATTAACTCCACAAAAATGAAGTATTGTAAATAATGTTAAGAAAAAATAAAAAATGAAAAAATAAACCACTTCAAGTTAACTGAACAATGTAAAAAAAAGAATGTCTGAACTCAACAGTTGCCAAACAAGAGGTGATAGTTCAGTAGTGGTGCGTAGAGGGAGTCACATGCGGCACGTGACAGTAGTTCTCTCCCATCGGTGGAGGGGCGACGCATGATAATTTGCGTGAGAAACTTGTTAGATCTTTGGATTCTAACAGAGGGAGGATGAAAGCTTGTGGCATGTGTTTCTGATAAAGTTTGCCTATAGAGGGCAGCACAAAATGAGAAAAGCTAATATTGTGAGTGAAGGGAGAGCACCTTATCAGAAACAAAGAATATGTACCATAACCAAATTAAAAAATACAGTATGTAACACAACAAAATAAAAAAGAGGATATACCACAACTAAATTTAAAAAATAGAGTATGTAACAAAACAAAATAAAAAAAGAGGATGTACCACAACCAAATTAAAAAAAAATAGAATATGTACCACAATCAAATAAAAACAAAAGGAGGATGTACCACAAGCAAATTAAAAAAAATAGCATATGTATCACAACTAAATAAAAACAAAATGAGATGTACCACGATGAAATAAAAATTATAAGAAGATGTATCACAACCAAATAAAAACAAATGGAGGATGTACCACAACAAAATTAAAACAAAAAGAGGATGTAACCACAACCAAATAAAAACAAATAGAGGATGTACCACAACAAAATAAAAACAAAATGAGGATGTACCACAACAAAATAAAAACAAATAGCGGATGTACCACAACCAAATAAAAACAAAATGAAGATGTACCACAACAAAATAAAAACAAATAGAGGATGTACCACAACCAAATAAAAACAAAATGAGGATGTACCATGAGGAAATAAAAATTATAAGATGTATCACAACCAAATAAAAACAAATGGAGGATGTGACACAACCAAATTAAAACAAAAAGAGGATGTACCACAACCAAATAAAACAAAAGAGGATGTACCACAACCAAATTAAAACAAAAATAGGATGTAACACAACCAAATAAAACAAAGAGGATGTATTGCAACCAAATAAAACAAAAAGAGGATGTACCACAACAAAATTAAAACAAAAAGAGGCTGTACACAACCAAACTAAAACAAAAAGAGGATGTGACACAACCAAATTAAAACAAAAAGAGGATGTACCACAACTAAATAAAAACAAATAGAGGATGTACCACAACAAAATTAAAACAAAAAGAGGATGTACACAACCAAATAAAAACAAATAGTGAATGTGGCTATAGAAATCTTACTTAGTTGGAAAAGGCACATACAGACAAAAGCATGTTTAAAGAACAAATATGCATCATTACATAAATCTGACTAGAATAAAATATAAAATGAACACTGCATTGTAATTTAATGCAAACATCTTTCCAAGTTTGGTCAATCTTTTTCTCCTTTCCAACAATTGTCAGGAAGTAAGAGAGCATCAAGAGGAATGAAGAGGTGGAAAAAGTTTGTGATTTTATAAATGAAAGACCTGTGTATCTGAGTAAAACATGGGGAGTAATCAGATCATGAAAGGCAACATGAAAACAAAGAAGAAAACATGGTGTGGCTCATCACAATTAAACCAAAGAAAGGTCAAATTTCCTTAACAAATGTGAAAGCCCTTAGTTAAATTCTAAAAACTTACGAGCAAAAGTAAAGAAGATCTGTTTGTTTGTTCATTTCAGTATAAAGCTGCACAATGCCCTATCTGCTTTGTTCATTGAATTCTGGGTTTCAGCATTGTAAATTCATAAACTTACTTCTCACCCAACAAGATACAATGAAAGAAGAATGTACAGCAATACACCAAGCACACTATATCTGCTATATCCAGTGCTGACATGGCTTTTCACCTAATATCAGGGCTCATCTGGGATGCAAACAGACATAGTAGTGGTTGAAACATTATCTATATTATGGTGCGAACTAGATTAAATTGGTGAAGTGTAATTTTTATCAATTTTATTTAAATAATTGACACACATCAGAATTCATGTAGGGTTCAGCAATGCATTACTTATTTCATTTTAACACCAATTACTTATTATTATTAGTTATTTTTACTTTAATTGAGTTCACTCATCATTCAGAAGAACTCACAAACTATAGGTAGGATGACAAAAGCAATATGCACAAAGCATTACAATTTCAAACAAGTCCTAAATGGAAGAACATGCTTATGTAAATGAGGGTAAAGGTGTAGATTTGGTATATCTGGATTTTGATAAAGCAATCTGACAAGGTGCCAAAAAAAAGACTTGTAAACAAAATCATCTCTATAGGTGTGGGAGATAAGTTAGCTAATTGGATAGAAAATGGCTAGATGGAAGAAAGCGGAGGACTCAGTCTTAGGACCTTTAATGACATAGATGAAGGAACAGTCAATAAATTACTTAAGTTTGCTGATGATATTTAAGTCTTGGGTGTTACTGGGTGTGAAGATGCTGCTGCTGATTTAAAAAAGGACTTAGATCATTTAGTGAGTTGGGAGAAAAAAAAGGACAGATGGATTTTAATTATAATAAATGTAAGATAGTACATGTGGGTTATCATAATTTGAATGGGAATAACCTTAACAGTGTTATGGAAGAAAGGGATCTTGGTGTAGTGGTTGATCAGTCTATTAAGCCATCCAAGCAGTGTGTTGTTGATAGTGGTAGGGAAATACGATTTTAGGCTGTATCCACAGAAATATTGAATAAAAGTCTAAAGAAGTTATAATTTCATTGCATAGGTCACTGGTTAGGCCACATTTGGAGTACTGTGTTCAGTCTTGGGATCCCTACCTTAGCAAAGACATTTAATTGTTGGAAAGGGTTCAGAGTAGGGTTACTAGAATGGTACCTGGGATGAAGGGTTTGTCGTATGAAGAGAGATTAAAATCTTTGAAATTGTTTCTCTTGGAAAAAGAAGACTTAGAGAGGATCTGATTGAAGCATTTAAGATTGTTAAAGGAATTGATAGTGTTGATGCATCATCTTTTTTCATACTTAATGGTAAGGCTAGTAGGACTAGGGGACCAATATAACTTTTCGGCAGGGTAGGAGTCACTTCAGCTAAGACAGCTTTATTTTTCTAACAGGATAGTTGGCCTCTGGAACGGGTTGCCTTTGGATGTTATGGAGGCAGTAAATTTAAAAAAGAGCTTGATAACTATATGAATGATAAGGGCTGGCTTTAAGATTTTTTATAAATAGTTTTAGTTTAGAGGATGGGACAGCCTAGATAGACCAATAGGTCCGTTGTTGTCCCTAAAGATTATGTTAACATAGCTCTAGAGTCTTTAAATAGAGAAAAACACTAAATGACAGAAAACTTGAAATTGAGGGAAATATATTATTCATGGAACACCTAGTTGAACATCTGGTGATGCATGTTCAAGAATTCATTCTGT